TGCAAAGTCACAGTGAAACCTTCCCTGACTACCCAATCTACAATTTTAGCCCTCTTCCAAAATGTCATATCCCCTCTTTTTTCTTCTTAGCTTCTAACACTATCTTTACACTATTTCCTTTCTTTACCTTGATCATGTCTTTCCCCCAAAAAAGAAAATTTGTGTCTTTACTACTGTATCTCTAGGAGTTCATTGAATAGCATTAAACAAATGAAGAAAGGGATTATAGATTGTTTCAACTTTATTTTCCAGCTATTGTATTTAAATATAATTGTTTCCCATTAGATTTTGAACTTTTCAGTAAGTTATTTTCCACAATCTGATGTTCTTATAGCCTTCTATACCACTTAATTATACTGATGTGTTACTTTCCCTCTTTTCTTGAAGCTAGTAAATCATTTAACATTTTTCATCTGATCATTGCTTTGACTTAATCACCAGCTTCATTTAATCTAGTCTTTATACTTTTTCAGAAAGATCCATGGAACATTAAAATAGCCCATTGGAATTTTGGGCATGGTTGTAGCTTATGGATTTGCTGGTCTTCATTGTAGGTATTAGGTCTGGGCCTTATTTTTATTGTAAAATACCAACTCTCAATGTCTTAAGGTTTTTCTTTGGAGCTGGTGAGATTCCCTGGAGAAGAATTATCCACTCTAGTACTTAAAAGGCGTAACTTTAGCTGCTGGTGTTCTCAGGCCAAGTAGAAGGAAGGACATTGTATCTCACCGTTTAATTGGAAGAATTTCCTTTAATCTCTTTCAGTCTGGTTTCCACGGCCTCACCGGTGTCCATGTGTTTCCCAGTTCTACATCTCTTTTGTTAAATCTCTCCAAGAGGAAAATTCTGATTTTCTTCTAAGGAGGGAGAAAATTGATTTTTTATGCACAGGATAGGACAGAGGATCTGTAGCCCAGTTTCAGGGGGGCTGTTCTTCCAAAGTCCTTAATTTTTCTCTGATTCTTCAGTGTTTGCTCTCTATTCCCTGGCCAGTCTAGAGTTTGGTTAAGTCATCTAATACTAATATATCCATCTTCCAAATTTTATATTTAATTTCTGTAATCACCTTTCCTATTCTCTGTCCTTTTTGGTTTATGCATTTTTGTTTCTTAAATCTCTTTACTGCAATTTAAGGAGGGAGCAGAGAAAAACACATTTCAATTACTTCATTTAAAATAGTAAAATTATTTAAACAGTTCTGGTTTTGCATATGTCATGAACAATTTGTAGTATACTTTATATGTAATAATTTCCAGTTAAATTCAGAGCAATAGAATTTGGGCCATTCAGTTTCTTGTATTGCTTTATTTATAAGAAAGTAGAGTTAACACCATAGAGTAGAAAAAAAGAAAGCAGCGTGACTTAGGATATGTAAAGGCCAGGATCTGAGCTGTGAAGGTGCCATTTACTCTGTCTCTAGGCAGTTCTTCACGGTTCTGGGTCTCCATGTCCTTCCTCCTGAACTGGTTTAGGTTTAGAGAAGTGGTTCCTAAGATCATTCTTAAATAGATATTTTATTTTTTATTAATATAAATAGGATTCCATTGGTTTGTGTATTTTAGCATAGATTCCATGGGATGACTCCCCAAATATGTAAGTTGATTATATTGTGCTACCACTTTATTGAGATTTCTGACTCCATTTTTTTATTACACATCTTATGACGGAGTTATGACAATTTGCCTCCCTACAATGTATAGTGACAAGGATTGCTCAAGATCAGTGAGATTTAATTCCATCTCAGATTTAGTTCCATCTACTGACAAGACCCTGAACTGAATCATTCCAAATCATGACCTGATCAGGATTCTGTCACTGTTGTAGTCACTTTGTCATACTATGTTTTTGTTCCGTTTCATTGCACACAGTGATTTTAAATAGGTGTCACTGATGTCCACCTTTTAAATTGGTAAAGTAGCCTCATAGCTTATTAATTCTTGTAAACACTTTGTTTTTCCATTACTGAGTTCGAATTCAGTACATTAGTCCTGAGCATCTCTTGTTATTTCACTCCCAGAATGTAGTAAAAGGGAGCTATTAAAAATGACAAAATGTCGTCATCAGAAATTCCAAATGATGACAGATAGCTGAAGAAAGGAGAATTCTTATTGAAACATTAAACCTGTGCCCTTTAGATTTATCCAATTAGTTCAATTAGAAATGCAATAAAGAAATAACATTTTAGCATTTTTATTCTCCAAACTTTATTAATTGCCAGTTTGATGTAGTGTAAAATGATGTCTTTACTTTAAGACTTTGTTTTATTAAGAACAAAAGGTGTCTTCTTCAGGAGTCAGTATTTTCAATAATAGGATAACAGCTATAGTGGTTAGGGGTGGGGAGGGAGGTCTTCAGTTTCATATAAAATTGAATTTGTGATGTAATTTACCAGAGTGTAGCTCTTCACTGTAGTTAGTAATGCTCATCTGGGAGATTTCTTTCTTGCATGTTTTTAAGCAATTTGTGAATTCCATCAGGAATGGCACTAAAAATGTTAGATTAGGAATTAATATGCACCAGTAAATTTACTTAATTCCATTAAATATCTGAGGTACCTAATTAGATTCTGCATGTTGGTTAAGAAGCCTACACATTTAGAAAGCTTTCACATCAAAATTCTTAAATTCCTAACTATAAACTTCATTTTTGGCCACAGGAACAGTTCTGTTGATGTATTTTGCACTTCAAAGGTGGGGGGGTAAAGGCCTCCCCCACCTGGCTTCACTGGAGGCAAGGGAATTTCTTTGCCTGTCAGGTCTGCCACAGAGGCATTGAGACCATGCGCTCCGATCCCCGCCCTCGGAGCAGCCCGGCCCGGGGATGCCGCCGCCACTTCTGTGCAGGGGCCGTCCCGGCCGCAGGTGCGTTGCGCGGACCCTGGCCGCCCTGCCGCGCGGCCTCCCGGGCGGAGGGCCACGAGGTCCAGAGAGGCAGAGGGCGGGGATGGCGGCCGAGGGCTCAGAGGCCGAGGAGGCCAGGTCGGAGGGCCCCGCGGCTGTCGCTGGCGGAACCCGAGCGCGACCTCTGGGACACGACAGCCCGCCGGCCGCGGCCGGGCGCTGGGAGGAGGAGCGCGGGCGTCCGCAGCGCTGCCCGCCAGCCCCGATCCTGCGCCGCGCCCCGTGCCGGCCCCCCAGCGACAGCCGCCCCTGGCCCAGCGTCGGGGAGCCCGGGCGCGTGCGGGGCAGCGGCCGCGCCCGAGGAGCCAAGCCGCCCGGCCTCCGCGCGCGCCCCCGCTGACAGACAGACCCCGCCCCCCGGGGAGCGCTGGCTCCCTGCCCGGCCTGTCCCGTTCCAGCCGTGCTGCCCAGGCCCGGCCTCTGTGGCGCCCTTGCAGGGCTCCGCTGTCAGAGCCCATTTTCAGGAAGCATCAGGACACATCTGCTGTGGTTGTACGCTTTGTTTTTTTTACTAAAGGTTGACTGACTTAATCTGTCGCTTCTCTAACCAAAGTTGTGGCCAGATGACAAATCTGACTGAAAAGCTTGGGTCCTTTCTCTCTAGGCAAGTGTTTGCCGCCAGTGAGTAACGCGCTGCACTCTGAGGGTCCCGCAGGAGGTCCTGACACATATTTTAAGCCCTGAACCTGAGCTCAAGGGTTCCCCAAATTATCCCGACTGTCAGCCGACCGCTCTGAAGGGAACAACAATCAGATGAGGCAGCTCTTGAGTGTTTACAGAAACTATAAGTGTCACTTTCTGAGAACCGGCTGCTCTCCACAGGCGGGGCCCGGCCTGTGCTCTGTAGCGCCACCTTCTGGCCCGTGGCATCCTCACTGCCTTCCACCTGCATAGTCCCCCTTCATTCGCCTTTTGAGTGCTGGCGCCCCAGTGCTGGGGAGAGCAGTGACCGTTCACCTTTCAAAGCCTATCCTGTATAGACCGTATGTATGGGCTCTATAGGCAGAGTTCTTTCAAGCCCTACTTTTTAAAATTCTAATATTGGTAAATCTAGGAATTGCATACCTGTAAGTTTAAAACTCCAGCATTGCAGAAGGGGGCCTGTCTTCCTCCCTGAGTTCCTGGCTTCCCCTTCACAGACAACCAAGATTCCAGGCTCTTGTATATCATCCTGGTTACCGGCTGTGCGTGTGCAAGCACATGTGTATATACTCTCCACTTGGTTTACACAAGCTGTGGGAACACTGAGCAAAAGCACAGAGATGACAAACATGGTGCACAGGGAATTAGTGTAATGCAGTTGGGTCAATCAATTCCCACTCCCATCTCCGCCCTCAGGTGCTTATTGTCAATATTGTACTGTATTTTGGCATGAAGCATTGCATTTGTGTTTTGTTTCTGTTTCTTTTCCATGGCATTTCCATTCATGTTTTGAGTTGGTTCTATGGCAGAGTTAAGTGACTTTTTCAGGAGTGACTCTTGTAATATTTTTCTTTAATGCACATTTGACAATTTCTACCAGTTGCTTTTACACTTGAAAACAACTTGTCTGCAGATCATACTGCAGTATTACACCTTCTTTTTCTCAGCATCTGCAGATACTCTACTATTTCTCTACTATTTTCAAGCAATGTATGTTGCTTTATGGAAGATTAAAGCCAGCTTGATATTTAGCACTTGCCATGACTTGCTTTTCCTCTTAGGATACCTGAAGAATTTTGTTTGTTTTATCCTTTAAGGAAAAAAAATAACTGCAATTTAGGAATTTGTGGTTTCAGGTCTTCATTGCAAGGGGTGTTTTACTGTGGCATATCTTGCATAATTGTCTGGTTTGTTGGTTGACCTTTTTATTGTTACGTTACATCATTTCACCTTTCTTTTTTTATCTGTCTTCTCATTGTGTATTTGTCCTTCCCTTTATAACTGCTCTCAAGTAGATATGTCAGTTTTTCAGTTGGAAAATTTATTCTGTTATTCTGTTTCTTTCTGGTCTTAAGTTGTTTATTCATCCTGCTTTGACTTTGTTTAGCTTTTTTATTCCTCCCCCTGCTTCCCATTTTTATTTCTTTGTTTTGGCTTGTCATCTTATCTTGACACCCTTGTTGTACTGAAGCCGGTTGCCATTTTTATGGCATGAAGAATGCTAATGTACTTCTTTGTCTATTCCTTGGGTTACATTTTTCAAACAGGTTTTTTTTTCTTTATTTCATTCAACTTTGTTTTCCTCAATATGTTTACCTAGTTGCTATGCTCTCTTTTTTTCCTATTGCTCTTGTTTAATTAGGGATTTCCATTCTCACTCAGCCTACTGTATTTTACTGCTGGTGAATTTACTCTGATGCTCTTCTTGTCTTGGTGTGGGAGCTGAGAAAAAAATCTCTCTCCACTCACCCCCTTGGAAAAGAAGTCAATGTCAACCTCCTCATCCCTGGAACCTGTGAATATGTTAATGCAAGTGTCAAAAGAGGCTTTTTAGGTGGGATTTATTACAAGGTTTTGAAAAGGGCAGATTATCCTGGATTGCCTGTGTGGGGATGATGTAATCACAAGAGTCCTTATGGGAGGAGGTAGGGGAGAGAGAGAGAGAGTGGCCATGTGACAGTGGAAGTGGATGTTGTAGTGATGTATTCTAAAGATGAAGGAAATGAAGGTGCGCCAGCAATGTAGGCAGCCTCTAGAACCTGGAAAAGGGAACACAGTCACCCCTACAGCCTCCAGGTGGGACCAGTTCTGCTAACATCTTGATTTTAGGCAGTAAGACCCATAATGGAATTATGATCTCCAGAACTGCAAGATAAGAAATTTGTATTTTAAGCTCCTTACACAGTGGTAATCTGCTATAACAGCAATAGGAAGCTCATACTATAGGGCATGTTTAGAATAATTCTTTCTCTTAGTTCTAGACCTAATCTGAACCATTTTATTTTTGAGAAAGATTTTTTCTGTCTTTAGTTAATTATTGACTACTAACTTAAGAATGCTCCTTAGTCACTAGCTTATGGTTATTTCATTGATTTATATTTTCTTTTTGTTCCTGATCTCCAATTCCTTCTTGATGCCCTGCCCTATAGGCATATAGTATACTGGGCATGGCTTTTATTCTTGGAAATGTATTCTGTTGTATTTATCAACCATATGTTGCTTATCCATTCTTTCTGAGTTAGAAACTAAAATGCCACTTCCCTTCCATTATAAATAATGCTGTGAATATCACCCTTGTAAAGATCATGTTATAGAATGAGATTATAGGCTCATAGGTTCTATGTATATTTAATTTCATTAAATATTGACTAATTGCTCTCCAACACAGCTTCATAGGTGGATACTTCATTTTATATCATGAAGGTTCCTTTTCAAATCCATAGCCTTACAATTATTTGTATAGGTTGATCTAATTTTTACCAATATGGTATGTGTAAGATAGTATCTAATTTTTGGTTTGGGTTTATCCAATAGCTGACAAGGCTGAGACTGTCTTGGGAAATGTGCCTACCGTTTAGTGGCTGCAAGAGTCCAAGCCCATGTGTGTGGAACAGCGTGAGGCAGGACCTGCTTGAGGTAAAGAAGGCTGAAGCTGGCTGGATCACTGCCTGGCTCTAGAGCAACTGCTCAGTTTGAAGGAAATACATATTGCCCCTCAGGGAGCAGACAGTCAGTGGGAAGTTGGAAGTAGAATGGAGCTAACTAGAGTTCAAACCCTGTGCAGATGCCATGGTTTTCCAGGAGACTGGGGCCTAGAACAGAAGCTGGCGAATGAAGCCTTCATGCTTGACAAGCACAGGATTCATGATGAGGGCCATGGATGTAAAGCCAGGGGCTTCCTATTTCCCTGAAGGCTCTGGGGAAGTGATGGGGAAGAGAGTTTCAAAAGAGACAATGGGTTGTTGAAATACATGAGCCTGTTCCCTATAGTGGGGAGAATTCAATAAATGCTGGAGCTGTGTGGAATCACAAGGTGTTCGCAAACCCACTATACACATATACCCCACATATAACTTTTATGTGTACATATTATATGGTACTGCTAAGATATGACAGTTACCATGTAATATGGGGCAGGAAGGTTCTAAGCCTGGTTCAGGTAATGCCTTATTCTCACTCTTGGGGAAATTTAGCAATGTGGTTACCCTAGATACATAAAGTAATGATCTTTTGTTTAATCCACATCATTGGTTCCCACGTTTTGATATGAAGTGTAAGATAAAAATTCAAGTTGATAAGAGTTTGTGTTGGGTAAAAGGGCCCCCCCCTCCCCATCAGTGGTTTGCTCTGATGCCCATGTCAGAATGCTCTGGAACCCTGTCTCACATCATAATGGCCCTCCTGGTGTACTTAAGCACCGGCCAGGCCAGTGAGTGACTGAGTGCGGAGAGAGCCTCTCTAGTTGCTTGTTGTTCTTGGATAGTGAGTGCAGAGAGAGCCTTTCCAGTTGCTTGTTGTTGGGTATACTGACCTGTTTCTTTGCTGCCATCACTTGAACCTCTGGCAGCAGAGTTCCAGGGAGGAAGACACACTTCTCTGAAGTGCTGAGCCATGAAGCGTAAACGGAAAAGGAAACATCTTGAAACCACACGTTCCCTCAAAGCTGCCAGGATGTCAGGAGGTGTGTCTGTGATATTCTCTGAGCATTGGGGATCTAAAAACTCTTCTAAAGAAAAAGAGCAAGGATTCCTACTTATGGGATAGAAAGGGCAGGAAGTCTGGAGGAAGGAGAAGTGTGGGTGTGCTGGTCTTTCTAAGGGATCAGATCATCTGAGGGTCAAGAGCAGGTTCCTGTGACTAGGTCCTTGTCTCTGTAGCGTAGGACCTGTGTTCCCGACATCGTGCTGCTCTGGGTTACTGTATCACAGATATAGTGATTGATTACTATCACTTTTCTTATATAATGTATTCCCCTTTATTCTTTTTTTACAAAACTGAGGACATTTTTTAAGTAAGTGGATATTGTTATACATTTTCCAATAATATTTTTTCCAGTCGATGAAGAATGTGTGGCTCATAGAGGTAAGTAATTAGGAAAAAAGCTTGAGAACCTAAAATTGGAGCTGCAGGGATGAGAGTGTGAAGTCAGGTACAAAATGACTTGATTTCTTAGATTGTCTCCAACATGAAGACCTTTCTTTCATTGTCTCAGAGCATAGAGATGTAAATGTGAGGCTCCTTTATGAAATGTAAGGAAGAAACCAGCAGGACACACACACCCACTTGCACATATATGTACATACAATACCATTTAACCACAATGGTTGAATTGAGAAAGTTCGGTTCTTTCTAGAAAAAATGGGAAACTGAAATAGTTGTGACTCTGAGGTTTAAAAAGTAAACAGGTCCTATGAGGAAGAGCCAGTGCTCAGCAGTGGGAGGGGACAGACCAGGACCAGGACTGAGAGTCCCAGTGGGGGCTCATGAAGGGAACGTGACATTTGGGGTTCAGCACACCCCAGTGGTGCCTTGGAGGAAGGCTTGGAAAGTGAGTCTGTCTTCAATTCAACTTCAGTACAAATAGTGCATGTTCAGAGATATATTTTGTGTAAACTATGAAGCATGTAAAACAATTTCACACCAATTCGCACATACACACATGTATAGCATAAATAAGCAAAGGGGAAGACAGTAATTTCTAACGTAATGCCTTTCTTAATATGTACCAGGTCCGAAAGCAACGGAAGCTGCTGCTGCTGCTTCACAGTGCCTCTCCTGTGTCCCTTGTGAGAACAAGCCCGCTGGTGCTGGTAAGAAGGGACTATTGAATGGGATACAAAGGACAGTGGGGATCTAGGCCGAGCCCAGAGATGAACTGTGTGATTCTGCTCATCAGTCAGCACAAGGCTGCACAGTACAGAAAGAAACTCAAGATGCTTCTCCATCTTCGTTAATATAACCCCCAGCAGAAGTAGTAAATTCCAAGGGAAAATACTTAGAAGGATTGGAGCGAGCCCAAGGAGACAAGGGGAGAGCAGTGAGTTATTTGAGGAAATGGTGGAAGAGGGCCTAAGGGGATGAGGTGTATCAGAGAAACATGGAAGAACATGTCGGTATGAACTGGGCAAGGACAGGTTATATTACCAAGAAGGTGTGACAGCACTAATAGCCTAAAGCAGGCCCAATGTCATAGGATCCTCAGGTCCTGACCTGAGTATAGACACACCTGGTCCAAGACCCCAGCACAGAGGTACCTTCTCAGTTGATGTTCTCAAGTTCAACCCTATACAGACCCATCAGCACCCCCTGTGTTCATCATTCACTTCCTTGTCATCTTTCACATGCATCTAAGTTCTCTAATCTGTTTTTGTCCCAACCAAAGAGTGATAATTCCTCTGATTACCAAAGTGCTGCATTAGTTGTCCCTATGTTTTAATGTTATGTAAATAGGAATGCACAACACATGCTTTATGTCTACTTCTTTTCAGTCTCTGTATCTGTGTTTGTAATCATCATCCGTGTTATATGTGACTATAGTTCATTCATTCTTGGCATATAGATAGTGTCTTAATTGATTATACTTTTATGAGCATTTGGGTTACATTTCAGTCTAGGGTTACTCTAAAAGGAGATATTCTGAAAATTCTATTACATGTTTTTGCTATATGGACATATGTCTGTTTGGTGAATGCCTCAGAGTTAAAGTGCTAGGCTTTCGTGTCCGTATTCTATCTCAACTCTTTAGACCTCAATCTTTCAAGATTTTACTTTGTAATGCAATCACATGTTGCTCTACATTTATTCTTGCACGCTCTTTCCTGCGCCCTCATTTACTTTGGAATCAAACAGTTCTGTATTCTGAAAACTCATATATTCTTTCTCTTACAGCCATTGATTCTCATATCCTTCTGTTCTTTCACTGTTACTTTAGATTTCACAGGTACATTAATTCCACTAGTCTCAAAGAGAATACTCCCAATAATTCTGTTGCACATCTAAGCCACCTAACAACATGTGAAATATGCACACACAAATCCATAATCGTAGGACACGCAGTCTGCACACATAGATATGTGCTGACCTAAAACACAGACACAAAGCACACATACCATTCTCACGCACACAGGACTCACTCCAAATTCAACTGTGCAAACACCAGATCAGTCACACATTAAACCCTAACCTAGTTTAAACCATCAGGTTAAGAATTTATGCACACAACGCACATGACATTCATCACACCATTCTGCCACAATGTGCGCATGATGCACACACCTGACATATTCATCGGAGATGAAGGTCATTTTAATTCACTGAGGAAAAGTGAGCTTGGTCAGTAAACAAAGACAGTGACTAATAATATAAAATAAATTCTGCAAAGATAAAAATTCACCAATTGTTTCATGTGAGGTTGTAAATCTAGGAGGGGGAGTGCAAAGGGCACACCCACACACAAAAAAATGGTAGAGGAAAGCAACTAGTACCAAAAGTCTTAAGCAAGGTGAGTGAGTGTGAGGAGCCTGGACTACAGGGTCCA